GTGATCCACCTGCCTCGGCCTCCCAAAGTGCTGGGATTACAGGCATGGACCACCATGCTCAGCCTAGAGGAGCATTGTTATTTTAAGCCAAAAAATTTTCTCCTGAATAGACAAGTTCTGATTAATTACTGTCTCTACATTTTTTTTTATTGATATAACTAGTGTATGAGCTTATAGAGCACTTAAATATTTTCTCAGGTATAGAGTGTAACTTAATTTAGACTACACTAATTCCTGAGAAGTTCTTATCAATTAAGGATTATTAAATTGTACATAATAAAAGATACACTCAGAGAAGAAGTAACTCTGTGCCACTTCCACATCTTTAAAGAAAAGCTGCTAGGCATGGCAGCTAACACCTGTAATCCCAACACTTTGGGAGGTGAGGTGGGAGGATTGCTTAAGGTCAGGAGTTTGAGACTAGCCTGGGCAACAGGGCGAGACCCCATCTCTCCATTAAAAAAAAAAAAATTAGCCTGGTTTGGTAACTCATAGCTGTAGTCCCAGCTACTCAGGAGGCTCAGGCAGGAGGATTGCTTGAGCCCAGGAGTTCAAGGCTGCAGTGAGCTATGGGTACACCACTGTCTTCCAACCTGGGCAACAGAGTGAGACCCTGTCTCTAAACAAAGTTGATAGGAGGAATCCATCATTTTTTAAAAGCTATCTGCTTTGTTGTCTTCAATGACTGCCGTCTTTTAGGTCCGAAGCATGTAGATTATCATTTGTATTCCATTGTTATGGTTTGGATGTGATTTCTCTCCACCAAATTTATGTTAAAATTAAATTGTTAATGTCATGATGTTGACAGGTAGACCTTTTAAAAAGCAGGGCCTAATAGGAGGCATTTAAGTCATGGGGGCTACACCTTCATGGGTGATTTGATACTGTCCTTGTGGTAGTGAGTAAGCTCTTGCTCTCCTGAGACTGTACTAGTTCTCACTAGAATGGATTAGTTCCCACAAGAGTGATTGTTATAAACTTAAAAAACCCTTGGTGTTTGGCCCCTTTGCTTGTGTATACTTCCTCTTTGACCTTGCACCTTGTTGTGACACAGCAGGAAAGCTGTCTCCGGAAGCTAACACCAAGCCCTTGAACATTCCGGCCTGCAGAGCGAAAAGCAGATAAACCTCTTTGCTTCGTAAATTACTTAGCCTAAAGTGTTATAGTAACACAAAATGGACTAAGACATTCACTACAGAGAATTTTGTGGAATTGTTGATATGATTTATCTCAAATTGATTTTGCCTAACAGACTATTTATTTGCCAACTTTAAAATAGTTGTATAATCATTTTTAATGTTTTAAACCTGACAAATTCTTTATTTCCCAGGATCTCAAAAACTTGAGAAGTACCCATTTACTTATCTTAACTATCATCAGAACAAGTCCCCAGCTGGGCTTGGTGGCTCACACCTGTAATCCCAGCACTTTGGGAGGCTGAGGCGGGCGGATCATGAGGTCAAGAGATTGAGACTATCCTGGCCAACATGGTGAAACCCCGTCTCTACTAAAAATACAAAAATTAGCTGGGCGTGGTGGCATGCGCCTGTAGTCCCAGCTACTTGGGAGGCTGAGGCAGGAGCATTGCTTTGAACCCAGGAGGTGGAGGTTGCGGTGAGCTGAGCTCGTGCCACTGCACTCCAGCCTGGCACCTGGCGACAGAGCAAGACTCTGTCTCAAAAAAAAAAAAAAAAGAACAAGTCCCTTACAGGCAATAGATTTTTTCTGGGTCGCAAGTTTGAATCCTTGTAATGATGATATTGCTGACAATGATAGCAATTTCAGTGCACATATTCTTGGGCATTACTGTAGCTATATTCAGACTGTAAGTTCTGTCTCTATTTTTTGGGGGGGTGTTTCTGATATCAATTCAGTTTTCATCTTTGCTATGCTGTTTGGATCTGTCTGGTATACATGCCATTTGAGTTCATCTAGGATTTGGGTGGTGATTTATATCATAAGTCAATTATTGAAGACTTTGTTACACTTCTCTGAGTGTGTTGAGAACATGCTCAACTCAGTGGTAAGTGTAGAACTTAGTTTATATAATGAACAGGAGATCACCTTCTCCAGCATTTTGCTCACCAGGGTTACCCCCACACCCTCTGGCTCCTAGCGTCCCTTCCCTTCTTCCTCTGGCCAAAGAGTCAGGTTTTCTTTCTAGTTTCTTGGTTTTAAATGTCAGAGCTGGCCAGGCACAGTGGCTCACCCCTGTAATCCCAGCACTTTGGGAGGCTGAGGTGGGTGGATTACGAGGTCAGGGGATCAAGACCTCTACTAAAATACAAAATGTTAGCCAGGCATGGTGGCACATGCCTGTAATCCCAGCTACTCAGGAGGCTGAGTCAGGGGAACCACTTGAACCCAGGAGGCGGAGGTTGTGGTGATCCGAGATCATGACACTGCTCTCCAGTCTGGCAACAGAGCAAGACTCCATCTTAAAAAAAACAAAAAGTCACTGCTGCTACCACAGCAAAGTGGTTTTTTCACTGGGCTGGACTAGAGGAGAGCTAGGAAGAAAAATGGAGAGAAAAAAAGAAAAGAAAAAAAAACCCTGGGGATTCCTGACATATTTGCTGGCATTCAGGGGCCTCTTCTTCCAGTCCTGTTGCTAAAATCATGAGAATTTTCCTCGAGTTTTTGTGGCATATTTCTGTCCTTTGATCTATCCTCAGGTCAAAGTTGAAATGCAAAGGAGAGAAAAACAAACAGGGAAACTCACTGCCATTACAGATCATTATTTATGTTTTACCTTCAGTCCTCAGTAAATTAACCTATTCCATCTTGGCTGACACCAGAAGTTCAGGATCTTTAAGAACACATGTTGAGACTGATCACATGGAGTAGGAGGTTTAATCAAGGCTCAGCTGTATATACCCCAGCCCAGATGTTCTGGTAATAGGGCGCCTTATCAATGCTGATTACATTAAAATTAGAAAAAACAAATGAGTAGCCACACATGATGGCTCCCACCTGTAATTCCAGCACTTCGTGAGGCTGAGACAGGAGGATTGCTCGTGGCCACGAGTTTAAAACCAGCCTTGGTAACATAGCAAGACCCTGTTTCTACCACCACCCCCCCAAAAAAATAGCTGGGCTTGGTGGCATGTGCCTATAGTTGTAGCTACTTCGGAGCCTGAGGCAGGAGGATTTCTTGAGCCCAGGAGTTTGAGGCTGTAGTGAGCCAAGATCACACCACTATTTTTTGTTTGTTTTTTTAATAAAAGAAAAAAGACATGAAAGAAATGAGAAGTAACTGGAGGTAGACTTTGTGTCATCTGTTTAGTTCTATTTTGGGAGAAGATCTGAGAAGGAATGCAGGACAGATTTGTGAAGTAGACAGGTTATGGGTGAAAGAATTTGAGGGACCTTCTAGGAACTGCTGGAGCATTGCCTCTTCCAGTAGCCTTTGGATCATGTCAGGGTAAGTAACAAATCAGGTGGTCTAAGATCCATAGGCTATTCTACTTCTGCTTGAAGAAATGCTGGACTGGGAGGGAGAAAGTGGATGTCTACCTTCTACTGCCCTGGGTGAGTTTGCCTTAGATTCATGCCGCAGACAGTTTGCGGCTTATGTCTGCTCCCTGTGCCCAGGGTTGAGTCACCTATAGAAGGGACTGGAGCAGGAATTTGTAAGCAATTATAATCTAAGTCCAATTAGTTATGAAATAAGCTTATTTGTATTATTTTACTTTATTTTATTTATATATGTATATATTTTACTTTATACATATATTACATATTTACACATATATTACATATATTTACATATATGCACATATAAAAATTAAACTAATATACATATATAAATATGTAAATGTGTGTGTGTTTATGTGTATATGTGTATGTTTATGTGCATGTATGTATATGTGAGTGTATATATTTTGTCCAGGCTGGTCTTGAACTCCTGGACTCAAGCAATCCTACCTCAGCCTCCCAAAGTGCTGGGATTATAGGTGTGAGCCACTGTGTTTGAATTTTATTTTTATATAAAGTTCCAATTACAGTTTTATTTGTTTATCAGTTGGCAGCTTGTTTTTGTCATTTACCATAAAGTTTTGCTCCTAATTTTAAGTGAAATAAACCTGAAAGTCTTTGTTATATGCCAGTTATCCTCCATTTAGGGTCTTTCATTACCATGTGCCAAGCAGCATCCTAGGTATTTTACATGAATGAACATCTCAAAATAATATTTAAAGGTCAGAGAGATTATGCAATTTGTAGAGAGTTGAGACAGATTCAAACCCAGGACTTGTTTAATCATTGTACCAGGCCTCCTTTCAATGTTATAGGTAATAGACCATTGCTCCCTTACATGCTGTCTTCTACAGCCTCTGCTGTTTAAATACATTAGATCCTACTATAACTTTAGTTTTTTTTTGTGAAAAGAAGATTGTGCTAACTGTTTTTGGAATCATGCTCCCACTGTTTGGAATATTTGGAAACTTTGCTACACTTCGAGACTTAAATTCCTTTGATACCCTGGAAGATTTGCTTGTACAAAGCTTCCACTGTCAGCCCCTGTCATGCATCAAAGATTTCATTATAACCTTTGACATCTAGCTAGTAGATTGGACATCTAGCTTGGAACTGGGCTGGTCATCCACTTCAAAGCTTGGTTCTGCAGCCTTCTCAGAAACAGGAAGTGGGGTTCCCTCCTGCACAATGGCTAGTTCCTCTGCTGGGAAAAAAATCTCATGAGTAGAATCACAGCAGGGAGCCCACTCTGGAACTGCAGAAGCATCTAGAGAACAGCAGCCTGCTTTGGAAAGACATGGTAGTTGGAAATATTGTGATCTTTGTCCCATATAAAATGGGAGGGGAGATTATGTGGATAGAGATTTATAATATATTCAGTTTAAACAAAACCATAATTGACATGGGCTACTGAAAAATATAAGGTACTTTCACTATTTATTTTTGGAGGAATATGTGAATATTATATTCACACACACTCTTATGCAGCGATGTCTTTTCAAACTGCCCTAGCGGCAATAATTGCAAATGGAGGCCGGGCGTGTTGGTTTATGCCTGTATTCCCAGCACTTTGGGAAGCCGAGGCGGGTGGATCACTTGAGGTTATAGCCTGGCCAACATGGCAAAACCCCGTCTCTACTAAAAATACAAAAATTAGCTGGATGTGGTGGTGCACACCTATAGTCTCAGCTATTTGGGAGGCTGAGGCAGGAGAATCGCTTGAACCTGGAAGGTGGAGGTTGCAGTGAGCTGAGATGGTGCCAATGCACTCCAGCCTGGATGACAGAGTGAGACTCTATCTGAAAAAAAAAATGAGAATTGGAAATGAAAAAAGCAGAATTTAAAAGTGAGGAAGGTGGCTGGGCGTTGTGGTTTGTCGTAGTCCCACCTCAAGAGACTGAGGAAGAAAAATCCCTTGAGCCCAGAGTTGAAGATAGCAGTGAGCTGTGATTGCACCACTGCACTCCAGCCTCCATGACAGAGTGAGACTCCATCTCATAAATAAATAAATAAATAAACTTATGGAGGTGAGCTAAAAGAATAATAACCAGAGAGATAGAATGTAGACAGTTTGAATTAGTGAGAATTTTTTTTCTTGTTCATTTTAGAATTAAAACAGAGACCTTAAGACTGACGAAACAGACTCTCTGTAACAATAAGATACCAAATTCCAACTTGACTCTGGTATAGCATCATATGACAGATAGCAGGCAAAACATTTACCTCAAAATGTATTTTTTTGACATATTTTGAAATGGCCCTGCAAAACCATCTCTTATGGGGGAAATATCTGTTCTGTAGAGAACATCCTTCCCTTGCTAGGTCCTTTCTAGGGAGACTGACATTTTTTAGTCTGATAAGAGATATTTCCTATTTTCCCTTAAGCCTGCTACCTAGGGGCTTCCACAGTCCCCCTTATCTAAATTACTCAAGCCTTTTTTTTTTTTTTTTCAAATTCAACTCTTCAGGCAGAGCTTAACTCTTTTGACCAATTGCCAATCAGGAAATCTTTGAATCTACCTATGACCTGAAAGACACCCCCTACATCCCTTCAAGATGTCCTGCCCTTCTGGGCTGAACCAATGTATACCTTCCATGTATTGATGTATGTCTTTGCCTATAACTTCTGTCTCCCTAAAATGTATAAAACCATGCTGTAATTCAGCCACCTTAGATACATGCTCTCAGAACCTCCTGAGGCTGTGCCATGGGCCATGGTCCTTAACCTTGGCAAAATAGACCTCTAAATTGCTTTAGACCTGTCTCAGCTTCTTTTTGGCTTACACAAGTAAGGGCAATAGAACCGTCTCTGACAATAATAAGGTGAAAGTTGGATGTCTTAATTCAGACCAGACAATAGGGATAAGAGCAATGTACAATATCCAGAGAAAATACAGCCAGCATTTCAGCTTCCCCCACAAGAAGCAATGGTGTCTTCTCTACTTTTTGTCTATAACTCCCTCTCTATAAACATATTGAGAGGGAGGCTGTGGAGAGAGGTGCTGGAGGCAGGAAGTCCCTGGCTTGTCCTAGAAGCAACTATTCAGCTCTCCCGGGCATATTTGGAAAGCCAGCAGGACAGCTTACCAGAATCCTCTTTGCATGAGGCACTGAGGAATATGCCAGGAGAGAGTTTCCCCTAAGAGAAAAAGGAGTCGTGACAAACTTGACCCAGAAACAAAGCCTTAGTCATCACTACAGAGCACAGAACAGAACCCGTCACTCAAATATGTCCCTGCACCTTGACTGAGTCCAAGGACAGGAGGGGGGCTGTACATGAAGCAATTAAACAACTGTTATACCAGAAGCTGAGCATTTCCATGTGGGCAGCGCAGATCTGATGCTCTTTGACTGTATTAGCATGAGACTGAGGTACCTGTTCTGCCATGGAGCACTATACAGTCCAGGCGCCTTGAGGGCTCCTGAGTATCTGTGGTGGTGCAGGTTTAAGATGGCAGAAGTGTGGTGGTGCCTTGAGACACTTATCAGAGATGATTTGGTCAGCAGAGTGCCTGGAGAAGGCTGGATAGAGATCCCAAAGTGTCACATAAAGGATTCCTGGATTCCTGGGGGACAATGGGAATTGTCACTTACAATGATGTTCACTTACTATATATGTGTATATATATATATATTCCATATATATATGTATTCCATATATATATGGGTCAGGAAGGGACTAGACATATGTGCATTTGTGCAAAATCGAATATAGAAAGGAATATAGAAAGGAAGCAAATGGTTGTTTCAGTTTCATGATGGGTCAGAGGTCAGCGGGAGACTTTGCCATTATCAATTCAAGCCTTTCAAATCTATATATTTATTAATTTTTTTCTTTCCCTTAATTAAATTTTGTTGATACATTATGCCTTAAATCTAGGAGGCACAAGCTGTCCAATAAGATCTATTTGCTAAATTTTTAGGTAGGGGATCAGAATAAAATCCCCAGTTAGTAACTTGCGCTCTCTAAGCTATGTGCAGCTTTTGAAATTTCCAGCCTGTCTCCTCTTTGAGGAAGAGCTAGATTAGTAGAAACCTGGCCAGGATTGCTTCCTGGGGCTTGGGGTGCAAGGTACAACAGGAACAGCATGAAATCAGAGGAAGGTGTGTACAGGAATACAAGGTGTGGCTGGAGGAAACACTCTAAAACCAAATGATCAATTCACAAATCACCAAATGATTAATTCACCAAGCAGAAATATATGGAAACAAGGATGGATCAGAGAAACCAAGGCAAGGGACAAAAACGTCACACAGCCTAAAGACTTTCTGGAGCCCCTCTATAGGTGCTTCTGCCTGGCCTTTTAGGTGTGCTCAGGCTTAGGGCATTTAAAGGACATGAAACAAAATCCACAAGTCTTATGATTCCGTGTTCCATTACTTCCAGGGGCTTCTATAATAAAGTACCACAGACTTCGTGGCTTAAACAACAGAATTTTATTTCCTCGCAGTGCTGGAGGCTTGAAGCCTGAGATCAAGGTGTTTGGCAGGGTTGGTTTCTTCTAAGGCCTCTCTCCTTGGCTTGTAGATGGCTGTGTTTTCCCTGCCTGTCTTCACATGGTCTTCCCTCTGTGTGTGGCTGTGTTCCAATCTCCTCTTTTTATAAGCACACAATTTGTATTGGATTAGGGCCCATCCCTATGACCGCCTGTTAACTTTACCTCTTTAAAGATCCTGTTTCCAAATACAGTCCCATTCTGAAGTTAGGATGTCAACATATGATTTTGGGCGATGGGGCCCAATTCAGCTCATAACACGTTTTTAATATATGGTTGTCTCACCTTATTCACAGAAGATACATTCCAAGACCCCCAGTGAATGCCTGAAACCACAGATAGTACTGACCCCTGTATATACTGTGTTTTGTCCTATATATGCATACCTACAATAAAGTTTAATGTATAAATTAGGCACAGTAAGAGACAAACAACAATTACTAGTAAGAAAATAGAACAATTATAACAACATACTATAATAAAAGTCAAGTGGATATGAGCTCTCTCGAGTGCTCTCAACATGTCTTACTATATGTAATATTCTTGCACTGAAGTTCGAGCATGGATAACTGAAACTCTGGAGTGCAAAACCATAGTTGGGAGGGCGACTGTAATTGTATCAAAGTATGTATCTATGATTAGTCTCTTACTAATTAATTAGTGATGAAGTGGTCCATCTTACATTTTTCTATGTACTGGGGAGATGCCTAGAGTGTAGAAAGGAGATGAATGATAGTTTTGGTTTCAAGATGGGTCAGCAGGAGACTGTGCCATTACCATTTTCAAAACTGTCATCAAATACCACCTGTGGTTAAGAGAGAGCTGAACAGCAGACTCTATTTATTCACCCTTTCCCCAGAGGACTCCTTCCATGCCAAAGGAAAGGGGAATGGTAGAAAAAAAGTGGCACCAAATCACCTTAATCAGTGTCTTAAAAAGGAGACTGTATTTGTCCATTTTCATGCTGCTGATAAAGACATATCTGAGACTGTATAGTTTCTAAAGAAAAAGAAGTTTAATGGACTCACAGTTCCACATGGCTGGGGAGGCCTCACAATCATGGTGGAAGAGCAAGGGATATCTTAACATGGTGACAAGCAAGAGAGAAATGAGAGCCAAGTGAAAGGGGAAACTCCTTGTAAAACTGTCAGATCTTCTGAGACTTATTCACTACCATGAGCACAGTATGGGGAAAACTGCCCCCATGATTCAATTATCTCCCACTGGGTCCCTCCCATAATATGTGGGGATTATGGGAACTACAATTCAAGAGGAGATTTGGGTGGAGACACAGCCAGACCATTATTAGAAATATCTTTTCCACATTGAGATGGAGATCTGGCTACAGGAATGTTACTGGGGAATGATTTGGGGATCAACATCTGTAGGGAAGTAAAGAAAGTAGGATTGGACAGAGAAAGGAGCTGAACTCAATGCAGTGAATGTATATGCAACATAGGCCTTAATTTTCCAACAGATCTCTGGCGCTGGAATGACCCCTCAGATTTGTGCTGTCACCTTATGCAAGAGGCTGGATTTCTCCCACTCTCAACTTGCCCAGGGTAGCTCTTGAATAAGGACCATCCCCTGAAATGGGACATGACCTTAGCTGTCTTCAGCAGCACAGTAACTGCTGGGGGGCGAGGACCTCAATTCCAGAGAGGAGGATCTGAGAGACACAGCATGGCATTCACTGTAGTCAACTTCTAATATTGACTAAGTTATCCAGAAAAAAAGCAGCTGGGACCCACGAGAAGTCAGACCCTCAGATGACAATTACCCACTTGAAATTAATCTTTCCCTGTGATCAATAAGGAACATGTCCTATAAAATATGCTGTTATAATGTTGGTTTCAAACCACTGTATCCTTTAAAATAGGAGAAAGAGTTTTAAAAAGTGACTCATGTGATCCATTGGTTCTGAAAGTGTCAATTAACTGCAAGGAGCAAAATTCCTGAATTTACATTTGTCTCTTTCACATAACCTCTTCCTAGACAACAGAGAATTCTTGAACAGTTGATCCATAAAGGATCAAATACTTTTAACCTTTTAAGCATACATATAAACATATAAAAATATGTTGTCGTTTT